TCCAGTCCTAGAATGTTTATAGCAGGAAGCAATGGCAGAGATCAACCAGTCAGATTTTTGACCCAAAGCAGAAATTCCAGGAAAATTCCCAGATCTCTATCACCAACCCAAGCCTCTTTTCCAGATTCCAGACACCTTATATCACTTATCTGCTCGGCGGTCCAAGGGCTCCCTCCTGAGCCCACGGTTAGCCCACATCTCACCCACCTGCAAGGCTCCCCCTCCCTGGCTAACGAATGCTCCATCCTTCATGGATTTCAGGTCCAAGCCATGGAATTATTCTTGGCTCCTTTCCTTCACACTCGTCTAATCTATCAGGAAAGCCAGGTGCCTCCCCTTTAAAACATGTAATCTCAGCACTGGGGAGGCTGAGGCAGGAGAAATGATGTGTACTCAGGATCAGTCCCCAAGTCTGACGTCTCATTTCTTTTTTTTTTTTTTTTTTTTTGGTGGAACCGGGGATTGAATTCAGGCCCTTGCACTTGCAAGTACTTATTCCACTGAGCCATCTCCGAATGCCTTCAGGGCAGGTTTGGCTGGCTTGAGTTGTGAACCACAGCAACCTGAGCCTGACTGCTTTGTGGATGCAGCCACTTAAAGAACTGAGCTAAGGGGCAGGTCCCCTTGCTTTGCTTTTTGAGACAGGGTCTGCTAGGTAGTTCAGGGTGGTCTTGAACTCACCAAGTAGCACAGGCTGGCCTTAACTTTGCAGCAATCTTCCTGCCTCAACTTCCTGAATGATTTTTTTAAATTCTTAACTTATATCATGTCTGCTCAGAAGTTCCCAGTGGCTCCCCAAGTCACTCAGAATAAAAGCCACAGTCCTCTTGGCCCTACCTGCTCTACTTCCCAGCCAGTTTTCCGCTTGACTCCATGCTGCCCAGGCTCACTGGAGGTCTGGAAGTCCTTCCTGCTCTGCACTCTCTGAGGGTGGGGGACCAGCATTGGAGTGTTTCCTCAAAGAGCCACAGGCATCGAAATGGTGCTCCCCAGTCCCTCTTCCTTGAGCCTTGTCCCAATGTCTAGTATTTTTCTAATACTTAAGACCTCTAATTTACTTATTATATTGGTTGTGTTATCTGCTTCCGCCAGACTAGCACCCCCTGAGGACAGAGATGTTTGTCAGTTTTGTTCACAAATTCATTCCTAGAGCCTCAGCAAGCACAGACTTCGAGGTGAATCCTGCATCTCAGTGGCCTCTGCTCGTCGTTCTTGATTCCACTCTGAGCCACAGCCTATACCTATTTTTTTTTCAAAACAAAACACGCCATCATCTTTTTTTCAAAGTCGGTACTGGGGTGTTGAATTCAGACATGCTGAGTTCTAGCCCCAGCCCCTTTTTTTCTGAGACAAAGTCTTGCTAAGTTACTATTTGGCCAGGGCAGGCTCAGACTTACAGTCCTCCTGTCCCAGCCTCCCACAGTGTGATGATTACAAGCGCAGTTACTTTACCAGCCTCCTGCCTCAGCTCTTAGAGCACTAGGAACACAGACGGCGCCTCCACATTTGGTTGCCAGTCAGCCTCAGGCTGCAGCCTCCCACAGCTTAAGTCCCTGGCAAGCACCATGCCCACTAGAGGCTCTGTAGGGGTGGGCCCTGAGACTTACAGGGCATGGCTGCTTCCCACACACCACCGCTGGCTGGATGGTAGAGGGGTTTTGAAGGGTCTCGCTGAGGCAGGGCAGAGAAGCCAGGGCATACTGAGAGAGGGGGTTCCTGCCCGCTTGCTGGAGGACAGTGTGGCCTGCCTCTGAAAGGGCGGAGAACAGAGCTCAGACCTTTCCTGTCCCCTCCTGTGCCTGGACTGTTGACATTCTGGAAGCGCTGATGTGGCACTAAATATTCCCGCAGCGTCAGCTTTCACCCCCGGGGGGGACCCAGCGTCATCTCTGAGCCTGCTTTCTGGAATGTTTTTGGTATGAAGTGTCCTGGCAGGTGAAGGGGAGGGCTGTGCTGATGGCCCTGGATCCAGGTCTTTGGAGCCAAGATCAAAGATCTCCTTCAGCTGAGCTTCTCTTCCACCACAGGCTGGGCTGGCACCCACCCCACACCTCCTGCTCAGCCTCCTCAGTCCCTGCCTGAGGCCTGGCTTCCAGTAGGTTAAGCTGCTAGAGTATAGGAGACCCAGATCTCAGGCCCAGACCCCTCCTGCTGCCTTTCCTTCTCACAAAGTCCATCCCAGCACCTGCAGAACTATTAGAAAAGGCTGTAGGGCTCTGTCCTTCCCCTCCCTCCTGTCCCACACTAGGTACAGGCTCTGTTGACAATCCCTTTTTTCTCCTGTTTCTTTATTTTAAAAAAAAAATTTTATTTATGTGTGTGTGTGTGTGTGTGTGTGTGTGTGTGTGTGTGGCCAGCTCAGCCCACCAGGGGGTGGGGCTGGCTGGCATGTGGTGCTGGGGGATTGAACCGTGGTCCCTGTGCTTTGCTGAGCTTGTTCTTAGTAGGTGCTTTAGATCACTAAGCCATCTCACCAGCCCTTGTTTCTTCAGTTTTGAGTCAGGGACTCCTTCTGTAGTTCAATCTTGAACTCACCATGTAGCCAAGGGTCAACTTCACTATGATCCTCCTGCCTCATCCTCCCTGGACTGCAGGCATGTCCCGCTGTACCTGACACACTCTTTCTAGCTCCCTCTTATGCCTTGCAGAGACCAAGGCATTTCCAGTAGAAGTTATTGCTATGCTTGGCCAAGAGCCTGGCATGTAATAGATGCCCAATATTTGTAGTCGCAGTGACATCTATTCTTTTTTTCCCTCTGAACTACTGGAATGAATCCAAGGCTTTAAACTAAGCTATATCTCCAACTCTATTATTTTTTATTTTCAGACAAGGTCTTGCTAAGTTGTTTAGGCTGGTCTGTAACTTGCAATCGTCCTGCCTCATCCTCCCAGTATGCTGGTCCAGTCACCTCTATTCTTTTATCCAATTCTCTAAACCCCATCTAGTCCAAATTGAATCCCCCTGCCCACCAAGAGTGGACCTCCTGTAGATCTAGATTTGAAATCTCGTTCCCACTGAATTTAATTTACTTGTGGTACCTGCCTTCGGGTCTGCAGCCTCCTGGAAGCTAAGGTCTGATTTATTGCCGTTTAGGCTCCCAGCCCATCTATGTGGCCATTTCTCGTCTTCTGGGGTAAATTTTCTGAACAAGCTCGGGCTCAGCCCTGTATTTTTCTAGTGTTTACACCGGTCTGGGGCAGTACCCAGCACCCAGGCGAGCTCACACCCCACTTTGTTGCCTTCTGCTCGCCTTTGCTTCGCGGTAGTTCATCTCCCCCCCCACCCCACGCAGGTGCTCTGCCCTCCGTCTCTTCCCCAGGCTCGGTGACTTTTTCAGCACTGCAGGTACAGAGAGGGAAGGAAGGTCGACTCCCTACTGGGCAGACAGTAGCAGCTGGCCAAGGACAGGTGTGCGGTGCAGTGGGGAGCCGCGGAGCTGGAACCGACCAGAACTGGAGGTGGGGGATGCTGTGAATACCAGAGCAGGTCAGAGACGGGTCGGGGCCGACGCTCCAGCCGACGGCTGCCCGCCTGCACTTTGTCCTCACCCTCCCTTGCATCCCGTCCCCTCGGAGCCCCGGACTTTCTCAATGGCTCAGGCCTTACGGGGGAGGGGTGCTCTGCAGGGGGCCGGGGGGGGAGCCAGTGTGGGGGTGGACATTCCAAGCATTCTTTGCTTCCTCCGGGAGTCTGGAGTGGGGCGGAGGGAGCAAAAGCTGCGCAGCGCGGCAGGAAAGGGGATTTCTTTAGAGAATAAAGGCTGAGGGGCGTCTTCACGCAGCTGGGGGAAGGGCGGTAGCAGACGACGCGAGGGGCAGATGGGGCGGGGGGAGGGGCGGGATAAGCTTCGGGACCCAGTTGGTTCTTTCAGTTTTAGCAGCCCAGGCGGGAAGAGCAGTCTGGGACGCTCAGGAAGCCCAGGGCTTTTCCACCCAATGTGAATGTTCAGTGGAATCAGGCCCGAGCTGCTGCTGCAGGAGCCCAGGAGGGTTTTACTATTTGTGGAGGGTGAACGGGCAGGGTGCTGGGGCTTGAGCTTGCACCCTAAGCGAGGACTACACCATCTAGGATCACCCCAACCCTTTATGCCTGTTGATTATGCAGCTTCTGTGTCTCACCAATAGCAGCTCAGATCGGGGATGGGGAGGATGGGGAGGTTGGGGGGTGACGCGTTCCCTAAACAATAGAAAGTGGTTCTTAAATCACTATTCCGGTTTTAATGAAGTGGTTTTTTTCTGACCACAAAGGAGGGCAGACAGCATCAGGGTGAGGCACAGAGGAGCCAGCAATTCATTTCCAGTGCAAGGAATAAGTAGGCTTGTAAGACTCCCCTTCCCTGATTGGTGGGGTATCCCTGTAAAAATACCTCCCAGCACGGGAGCCTGGATGTCAGAGTGGATGCATCTCCACTAGAACACAGCATTCACATTATTCAAAACAGCAAAATTCACTTTAAAAAAAATAAAATACACAGTGTTGAGTACATAAACTTTAAAAATAAATAAGGACATCCTAAGGTCCTGAAAGCCCAGAGAAACGGACACATCCACTGTCCAGACTTCAGGAGCAGCTTGGAGGCAGAAGTTGAGTTTTTGAGGTCCAAGGTGGGGTCTAGAGGATCTCTGACTCCTTCAGTGAGGCCACAGGATGCACCAGGAGGGCTCCTCTACTCCCAGCTCCAGTGGTTCATGAGATGGAACTGTATGAAGACTGTCCTTTCCCACTTTGGCAGGGATGAGCCTGGGTGGGGCTAGGCTCAGAAGGCCCCAGGAGCAAAACTCCTGGCAACAGAGGCGGCAGACCTGGATGGAGAGCTCTTTCCAGGTCTCTGCAGCTCCTCCACAGACACAAGACATGGGACCTGGAATGTGTGGTCGCCTTGCTATTCTTTTTTTTTTTTTTTTTTTTTTTTTTTTGCGGAACCGGGGATTGAACTCAGATCCTTGCGTTTGCCAGTCAAGCGCTTATCCTACTGAGCCATCTCTCCAGCCCTGCCTTGCTATTCTTACATCACTTTCCTGGTTAGATCAGGTGTGAGGCACAGAGCCCTCGCAGCAATTCATTCGCCTGCTCTCCCATCTAGGGCTCCACAGCCTTTGGAGCTGGGATTCCTGCCCCAGGAAAAGGCGCTAGGCCTACAAGGTGCAGCCAGCTACATTTTAGAGCCTGCCCAGGCTGGGCCAATGGCCCATATCCATCAGCTGAGCTTTGAGCAGACCCCCAGAGACCGGCGGTAGGCCTCTGTCACCTCCTGGCAGTCCGTCAGGGAGAAGCAGCTATTACTCAGGGGGTCCTGCTGCCAGCGCCTCAGGCGGCTGCCAGGACCCTGTGAGAGGGGTTCTTCAAGCCCAGTGAGGTTGTCCACAGACACACAGCCCCGAAGAGGGGGCTCAGGGAGCCGTTCGGGCAAGTCCAGCTGGTCAAAAGACTCAGAGGACAAGATGCTGTCCTCACTCACAGCCCCCGATGGGGAGGGGCGGCTGGCCCGGTTTGGGGGGTGTGGGGCAGCCAGTTGGTCCAAGGAACCAAAGGTGGTGGGGGCAGTGAGCTCCAAGGTTGCCCTTGAGAACTTGCCATTGACTTTGAGGATGCCCTTGCGATGAAAAAGCAATCCCGGGGGCTGTGGAGGATTCTGCTGCTCCTGTTCTCCACTCACAAACACGTCACCAGCATCCAGGAGCTCCCCAGACTCACTGGGCTCCGGAGAGGAGTAGTAGCCTGACTCACGCTGCTGAGACTTCTTGAGGATGCCCTTCTTGGGGAGCAGGGGAGCGGCCTGCCCTGCACCCTCAGGAACTGGGCTAGGTTCCTGTGTGTCCACCTGTGTCCCCTCTAAGGAGCCTGACACCCTCTTTTTGAGGATGCCCTTTGGCAGCTTGAGGCTGCCCTTCGCAGGACGAGTGTAGGCATCCTCAGCTAGATCAGCCTGGAGAGACTGGGCCATGTCATTCTCCTTGCGGGACTTCTTGAGTGAGTGCTGGCGCTCCAGGCTGGGTGTGCTGCCATCTCCACTGCCACCGCCACCTGGCGCATGCTGTCTGAGGAAACTGCACACTTTGGCCCCGTTCTCCAGGAGTGGGCGGGAGGATCGGCGAAGCCAGTCAGCCATGGAGGCACGGGCAGAGTCACTGCCACTGTGCCCACTCTCACGTACAGCTTCCAGCTCCCCCACACGGGTGGGATAGCCCCAGTTGACCCACCAGTGACTGGCCACATCCTCCAGTGTGGCTCGGCGGGTGGGGTTCACCATCAGTAGCCACCGAATCAGGCCACAGGCATCTGAAGACAGAGGTAGGAAATTCAGTTTGGTAGTTGCAAGAAAGGATACTTCATGGCTTCCTCTCACTGGCTGGCCCCCATCTGGGCCAAGATGCTGTTCACCCTTTGGGCTCCACACGTGCCAGCCCAGGCTGCTCCCCAGGCTAGCTTTCCCAAGCAGACTGTACAACTGCCTCTTTGTCCCATGACCCCTTCGTTACCCCATGTTGGAATGTACATATAAAGCATACTTTCCTTTATCTCCACTGACATTCAACCCTCTAAGAGTAAGGACTGTACCCAGAGCAAACTAGGGCGCATCCTCATCTCTTCTTGCCTTCTACATCCCATGTGAAAGGACAGAAAGATCTCTGAGGATGAGAACCAAAGCAATAGACAACTGTAGCCAAGAGGATCTAAGTTCGATCTTAGGAAGCATTTCCCAAATAGAATCAAGTATGCTCACTGGGGAGGAGTACACACCTTCTCCTTTCTTGGAAGTCTCAGATACTGGAAGCATGAGCCTGGAGGTCACCCTAATCTACTACAAGTCACAATGGACTGTTGCCCTCTTGACTTTAGTACCACTGTTTAATTCTCACCTCAGAAATGAAGGACGCTCCCCAGGCCCAGATGAGAATACCCATTACTTTCACTCACCGGAAGGTTTGGGTGGCTCGCAGTATGCCCCACTGCTGATCTGCTTCACCAGCATCTTGTGATCCTGCCCATCAAAGGGCATGGTGCCATGTACCAGGATGTAGAGGAGAACACCCAGAGACCAGCTGTCCACCTGAGAGAGAGTAAGTGAAGGATCAGGTCAGCAAGGATACCCCATCTATAGCCTGGGGAGCCACCAGCCTTGCCTCCATACTAGGGGCAAAAGGACACAATGGAGGACTGAGATGCCAGTGTGTAACCTGAGGATAACCCAGGGATAAAGATGGGACAATGTACAAGGTGCAGAGGCTCCAAGTCTCACAGGGGAAGATGCTGTCCATCACTTCCCTAGAGGTGGGGGTGGATACAGCCATAAGCACAGGAGCAATGGCCAGGCCAGCCCTTCTGGAGTAGCTGTGACAGCTGCTCTGTCTTCCAGGGAGGCCGGATTAGGTGCTGGGCAGGTAATGGGAATGAAGAAAGTGACAGGAACAAGGACAGGGAGATGGAGAATCATCTAGCACCAGTTCTACTATCCCTGAGAAAGGAAAGGACTAGAAAACTAGCTGATTTGTCTCATAAGGCCTAAAGTCACAAGAAAGGACTGAGGTTGGTAGAGGAGGTACCGCTTACCTCTGGACCCATGTAAGGTTTTCCGTTGACAATCTCAGGTGATGCATAGAGGGGGCTCCCACAGAATGTCTGCAAGAACTTGCCTTGGTGGTAGAGGTTGGAGAGGCCAAAGTCAGCGATCTGCAGGATTAGGACAAATATGGATGTGGTCATGCCAAGGCCTGGGATGCTCTGCAGTTCTCAGGCTGCCCTTCTTCAGACCCGGGGAAACCCCCACAGAAGAAAGGGTGCCCTGGCCCCAATCCCACACTGGGCACTGTCACCATAGCTCAGTTCCTATAAGAAAGTGCCTGAATGATTGGTGTTCATGAAGAACCTGTAGGCAGAGGTATGTGGGGCCCCAGGAAGCCCAGTGCTTGAAGACCCTTTTGATCATGTATGCTGTGTTCCACCCCAGGGATTCCATCCCCGGCCTGTGCACACCCTCCTGATCCTGCACATCCACCTCTCCTGGGAAGCCCTTCAGCACCTCAGATACTTTGTGCTGCCCCAGAGTTTCCAATGACTCTCTGCATCTCTATGTATCTTCTAGCCTGACAATATGCTTCCCTATGCACCTCCTCGTCCCCCTGCAGCTCCTTGCACAGGGAAGGGCCTCTAGAGGCTCAGTGGATATTTCTGGACTACATGGAGGATCAGCCAGATGAAAGAGGGGCAGTCGCATGCCACTGCCACAGTCCCAAGGAGCAAGGCCCCGAACGCTAAACCATGCCAGGCCTGAGCTGCCCTCCCTTCCAGGGCTCCCCTCTGTCCAAAGAGATCACTAAAGGGCAATGCTTAGAGCAGGACAAAGACCATGGCTGTGGCTCTAGCTCAGGAGAAGGGATCTTTTGGTAGTACTTCCTGAGCCTTTGAGTCTGAGGGCCTTCGGTCCTGACCAAAGCTCTCACTCCTTAGAGCACCTTTCCGCTTGGCCTCAGCTAGAGGCAGAGGTCAGTAACCTGTTGCTCCCCAACTCCTCACTCCACAGAGGGCTGCTGTGCCCAGTGTGGGGAGGGACTGTTTATGAAACTCGCTCCTTTGCTTATTGTTTTATTGGCCTCTTATCAAACAGTTACCAGGGGAAGCCCATAATGAGGCCTATGACTGGTAGAGAACAGAGTGCATGCCTGTCCGGGTTAAGTGTGTTTACCAGCACTGCCTCCCCTACCACGCCAGTCAGCATCAAAGAAAGCCCCACCTGCTCCGGGAACTCGCAGAGTAAGGAGAAGGCCTCTGTACCATGGGGCACAGGTCAAGAACCTCAGAGGGGACTATGTTCTATGTCAGAAAGATTCTGAAGAGGGTCAAGGTGCAGAGTCACCATCCTGGGTGCCTGATGGGCCACTCTCGTCTGCATCAACCAGCTCTAGTCTAGCCTTTTTCCCTGTCCAGTCCTGAGACCTAAAATCACCCTGTCAATACGATCTTCTCTTGACTGACAAAATGGAAGTACTTCAGCCTAGGAATCCAGGAGCAGCAGGCAATAGGAAGGTGGCACTTGTGGTACTGCTCTGTTGGGCAGGGTGCCAAAGGCTGCCTAATCCCAGCAGATTTGGTTGCACGTGTATACGTGTGAGCATGCATGTGCACAGGTAGGGAGAATGCTGACGGTGGCCTTGTGTCTGCTAATCATGAGGCTGTGTACCAAGTCTGATCCTAGATCTAGACTCCTGTCAGCCTCAGGACATCCAGAAAGCACTGCACTGTGAGTCAAAGATCTTGGTTCTAGCCCAGGCCCTGCCACTTGTTAGCCATGTGACACCATACAAGGCTTGTGTCCCCATCCTGTGGGAACACAGCTGTTGAAATGGGTGATGGCTAAGGTCCCAACAGAGAAGTCTGTGCTCTGCCTGACCCCTTCAGGAATCCCCTAAAAGCTACAGTGCAGAAAACCTAGGGTGAGATGGGGACAACATGGAAGCTAAAGGTGGGGCGGGGCTCACCTTGATATTTCCATTGGCATCTAAGAGGATGTTCTCTAGCTTGAGATCTCGGTGGACAATCCCATTCTGAAAGAGAAGGATTCGAGTCAGGGGAATGGGGAGGTGTGGCAGACACAGAAGGAGCTGAACAGGATAGAACACAGGCAGGCTGGGATACCCGACTTTACTGACATATAATGCAGGAAACCAGAGGCCCTTTGATTCTCAGCAGAGACCCTCAGAGCCAGAGACACCAACGTTGCCTGATCTGAGAGTCCTGACTGCGTGGTGTCTGCCTATATGATCCTGGGCAAGCCATAGAATCTGCCCAGAGTCCAGGGACAAGCCCCTTAGAGTGTGGCTGGGGCAGGTGGGTGCTCACCTGGTGGCAGTAGTGCACTGCAGAGACGATCTGCCGGAAGAAATGCCGGGCTTCCCGCTCGCTCAGCCGCTGCCGCTCACTAATGTAGTCATACAGGTCTCCTCGGCTGGCGTACTCCATGACAATCACAATCTTGCTGCTGTTCTCAAACACTGGGCAGAGCAAGGTGGGTGTCAGGCCTTGCCAGCTATCCACTGTCCCCCATCAGTCCTCACATACTCTTTCCTGGCCCCAAACCACACAGGACCTCCTTCCAAGGATGGTGATCAATAGACAGGAAATATGGACCAGAAAGGGCCTTTGGGGGTGCTCAGCACCTTCTGTGAACAAGACGCTAAGCCTGAGACCGGTGGCTGGCCCTCAGTTCAGGCTTTCGAGTATTCTGAGAACTCCTCGGAAAGCGGAGACCTTGCCTGGATAAGATGAAATGCCAGGCTCTTTGGCTCCGAACCCACCACTTTTTCACCTTTTAAGATCAATCAGTAAGAATGCAGGTTTTCTAGGTGATCGTGGATAAGTTATTCAGCCTCTGTTTCTTCATTTGCAAAGTGGGATAGTAGTGGCTATTTTGGGGGCTTGGTGAGAAACAGATAAAAAACAGTGACAGCACCAGGTCTGACAGAGCCATGTCCCATGAGCGCTGACATATAACTAAGCACTTGAAAAATGGTGTCTATTATTATATTTATAATAGATGTTCCCATGAGTGAATTTGAAAAATAATGCCAATAATGTGTGCCTCAAAGCTCAGAGGAGGGACACAAGTATATTAAAATGGACCAGGAGGGGGCTGGGGAGATGGCTCAGTGGAATAAGCACTTCCCTGTCAAGTGCAAGGGCCTGAGTTCAATCCCGGGTTCTGCCAAAAAAAAGGAAATTTTAACTTTAAAATGGACCAGGAACTGTGCAGTGCTGTGGAAAGCTGAGGCAGTCACCTCTCCCACCAACTCTGACTTCCCATCCAGGGTACACAGGCCAGGCTTTATGTATAAGGCCTCATCCAAGAAGCAATCAATGAGTATGTGGTCGTTAACTGGCTGGCTGGCTTCTTGGCAGTCAGCCCAACTGAGCTGGCTCATCACCATGTGTAGGAGGGGCCTTCTTGTCACTTCAAGCCTTGTCTTGGCTCCAGCCCCTTGAAAAGGTATGGAGCACCTGGTTTACCAGACAGGCCCTTCAGCTAGTGTATGTCAGAACATGTATGTCCGTGCTATTGCATCTTTGCATGAAACAGGTCCTATGAGTCTGGCCTGCTTGGCCAGCCCCAGAGCTGTAATTGTCTGGTCTCTGAGAAGGCACTGAGGGACAAAGCTTCTCCTGAGAGGAGTCCCAGCTCCCAAGAATCTGGACACAAAGTTATGGGAACAGTACTTTTTCTAGGGGATGGTATCCCACAGCATCCTAGGGGGTGCTGGCTGAGACTCCACCCCTATGGTTCTCAATGCCTTTGCAGGTATACAACAGTGCCGTGAGACTGGGGACCAAGAACACTCAGGTCAATTCTAGGAGCAACTAGGATATGGTACTGTGTGGCTGAAACAGGTGCAGGGCTCCCTGGATTGCTAAGGATCTTACTGGGCTAGGAAGTTCCCGGGACTGGAGTCTCCTCTAAGTCCACAAGCCCTGAAGGCTGTAATAGCAGGGTGGGAGTAATCTGGGGGAGGCTTTCAGACACCCAGTGACTGTGATGCCCCTTTATCTGCTGAATCTGTATGTGCAGAAGAAGCTGCGTCCTGAGCGTCAGAGCTCAGTTCCCAGACCCAGGCAGAGGCATGGGATTGGAAAGAATTCCCACCTAAGAACACGTAGCTGCAATGCTGGATCACCAAGTTCAGCCTGGCTCAACCACTACTTTGTCATCTGCCTACTCTACCCTGAGGGAAGTACGCAGAGATACAATTAACTTTCTCAGCCACTTGTCTGGGTTGCCGATGGGACAGGTACAGGCCTCAGGGCTGTGTCAATGGTTCTGGGCTTATTCTCCTTAGGATTTCAAATCCTAAACTTTTCTATTTTTTCCTAAAGAAATTTTCAGACAAAGCCATAGGCTCTCTTCCCTCCCTGCTGTTCCTCTGTCATCCCTGGTTCCCATCTAACTACTATTACAGCAAGGCTCGGAGCAGACAGGTGTGTGGGGGAGGTACTCCCCCTCCCCCTCATCACTTTGCCTTGGTCACTGGGTCATGGAGAAGAGGGCAACTGGGGTGGGGAAGCTGATGTCAGAGGAAAGGAGGCCAAGAGAGACAGTGAGAGGTAGGAGATACACTGTGGCAGGAGTGACTCAGAGCACGGGTTGGATTCTGAGAAGTCTGGCTCTGGGGATACGTGAAAAATAGCACCCACACGCCTGGAGCAGGTGTAGGATGGTGCATGTGTCAGCCTTCCTGGATTTCTAAGGATCTCACTGGGCTGGGGAGGTTAGGGTTCAAGCAGGGAAAACCAACAGCAACAACAAAAAGCTTGTCCTTCCTTGGGTCTCTCCCAAGAACAAGACACTCAGTGACATCCAGTTTGGTCTTTGTAACCCCCCTGTGACACAGAGGGGATTATCCCATTTTTATGAACGAGGAACTGAGGGCCACAGTTGACATTAAATGCTTCGTCCTAACTCATGTAGCTAGTTTTCAAATCCTGTTTTTAACTGACTCTAAAGCCCCTGTCACTTTTATGTCTTTGTGTTGTTGGTGCTGTCTTCTCTTTTATACTCAAGCATATGCAACCCAAGTCCCACCTCCACATGCCCCATGCTGTACCTTCATGGATGGCAATGATGTGGGGGTGGTTGAGTGACGACATGATCTCAATCTCCCGCCGTATGTGCATTAGATCTTGCTCATCTTTGATTTTGTCTTTCCGGATTGACTTGATGGCCACCTGGGAAGAGAGAATGCAGGAGATTGAGGAGAAAGGTCAGTAGATAGAAGCATCTGTGGGGGTGATTTGGTGAGCTCGGTCCTGGGGATCTGCTTGTTGCTGCTCTGCAGGTCTCCGGCTGCACTCAGACAATCCACCCTGCCTCCACCAGGCTAGGTGGTGGAGAGGCTGGAGAGCACCTTGTTTGGAAAAAGTTCTCACTTGGGTCCAGCGCAGTCCATGTTTGCAGCAGGAAGGAGTATGGACCAACAGCTTTCTTATTCAGGGTCTACAGATGGACAAGGAAGGTAATGACTTGTGGCCCTGAGCCTACTGCTGTATAATTTACAAAGCAAACTTGCCACAATGCACTGGGATTGCAACTGTTTTTCTCACCCTTGGGCCCTTGATGCCAAGCATATTGACTTGTGGGCACTGAGAAACAGTTGCACAAAATGCACCAGCCCTCACTATAATGCTAAGAAGTAGGCACAGAAAGTCTTGTTAGCTCCGTTTACAGGTGAAGAACCTGGAGCGCAGAGAGGGCAACTGACCCGTATAAAGCCAGGTGTCACTGACTGACCCAAACTGGGGTTAGGCTACTGGCTCTCAAGTTCCAAGTTTAGTTCTTTTTTATTGCTTTGACCTTTAACTTGCTATAAACATCTCATCGCTATCCAAAAGATAGAAAGAACTCAAATTTCTATCAATACATGAATAAATAAAAGGTGGTACATACAATGGAATATTATTCAGCCACAAAGATGAATGAAAAAAACATTTTTTGTAGTGCCAGGAATCAAAAGGAATGAAATTCTGACAGACTACAACATGGCTGAACCTTGAAAGTATTTTGTTTATTTTTTTTTATTACAGCATGTTTGTAGTACATAATGATCACATTCCTCATGGGTGAACATGGAAAGTATCATGCCAAGTGAAATAAGCCAGTTACAGAAGGACAAATAGTCTACAATCCTACTTACATGAGGTAACTAGCTAGAGCAGGAAAGTATAGACAGAAGTAGAGCAGAGGTCCCTCATAGGGCTATGGAGGTAAAGAACAGAATGGGTAGCTATTGTTTTATGCATACTGAGCTTACGTATGGGGTCATGAAAAGGAGTTAGAAATGGGTAGTGTGGTGATTTACAGCATTATGGATGTGTATAATACACCAGCCTTTGGCTGTGGGGCTGTGGTCAGGAACATGCTCAGGCTTCCGAAGAGGACTGCCTCCAAGACACAAGAGAACAGTGAAACCACCAATGCCAGTCAGCAGATCTGGAAACGCAGGATGTGCGGATCATCCAAGTCTGTGACTATCCATTCGCAGGCTCAATGCTAGAAAAGCACCCTGGCTCACCAGAAGGACAGGCACAGGGCATAGCTACTGAGAGGGTGCGACCCAGGCCTGATGCCAGAGAAGGTGACGTGGATACAAGGATGTGGACCCTGTACGGGCTGCTCTGGAGATATGAGGACTCTAAGAGGACTGACCACTATGTGTACCACAGCCTGAAGGTGAAGGGAAACAAGTGACTCTCATAGCACGCATCCACAGGCTGAAGGTGGATGAAACCGCAGGAAGCTTCTAGCTGGCCGGCTGAGGCCCACACCTTGAAGGCCAAGGAAGTGCAAATGCCATGGGCACCTCTAGGCTAAGGAGGAGACGATCAAGACCCTGTTCAATTTCCCTGGCAAGCACAAGGGCCTGAGTTCAATCCCCGGTTCCGCAGGAAAAAAAAAAAAAAAAAAAGACCCTGTTCAAGGAGGAAAAGAAGTAGAGCCCCCTGTGTGGACACAGTGGCCTCAGTAATTACAGAGACTGGTCATGAATAAAATCGCCTGGGTCCATTGAAAAGAAAATCTACTGAATTTGTACAAATGGTTAAAGTGGGGCTGAGGAGATGGCTCAGTGGAATAAGCACTTCCCTGGCAAGCGCAAATACAAAACGAAACAAAACCCCCAAATGGTTAAAAATTTATATATTTACAA